CCCCCCCCCCCCCCCTCTCTCTATATATATTTTTCTCGCTTTCTTTGAGTTTTGTGCTCGGATCGTCTGAATTTCTGCAAATTTTGAGTTTAGGGTTTTTCCTTGTCCGATCGCTCTCAATTTGAGAATTCTTTGGTGTTTTTGTTTGTCTTCGAAAATGATGATGATGATGATGATGTTTGGCTTTGTATGAGTTCTTCTTTCTTCGTTTTCTTAGAAAATTGTGAACGGGGATTAGGGTTTCATGTTAGTATCTGGTTTGTGATCTCTTTTTTTTTTCTTATCTGTTTCCTCGCGAAAATTGAGACGATCGCTCAACATCCCTCTCTCTGTTGAGGATCAAAACATGTACGGAAACGAATAGGAACGTCTCCTGATGTATCATCATTTGATATCTGGCCGCCATGAGTTTCTGTTTGTTTCACTGGAAGTCGAGAAATTGCCCTTTGTTTTGCCCCTTTTGTTGCATGCAAAATCGAAATTCGGTTGTGTTTGAAATGATTGACCCAATTTGGTCTCTCATCTCATGTTTTACCATGGGTCGGCTTGTTTCATGCTTTGGTGTGTGATCAAAATTGTTAAGCCATGTTAATCAATTCCTGTGAAGTCTTGATCAGTTGGCAGATCCATTGTTCATGACTGTAAGACCTAAATAGCGTGTGTCTTGTGTTTTTTTACTTTTGGAAGCGTTTATTCCTCTGGAAGAGTTTTCGGATGGTGCTGTGATGAAGAAGTACGAGGTGAAGCCAGACCCTGAAACACTGGACATAGCCAACACTGCCGCAAGGCAAAAGCCTGTAAGCAAAGCATGCACACATATATGTATATGGTCCGTTTCATGTGAAAAAATCTATGGTATGACAGAGATTTTGAACAGATAACGGTGATAATGAAGATATACTGGGGGGATGCACGCGAGAAGATATGTGAGGCTGTCGACCACATCCCTCTCTCCTGCCTTGTTATTGGTAACCGTGGTCTCGGCGGCCTTAAGCGGTATTTTCTTCTCTCTCTCTCTAACTATATTCACACAAATTGCAATACAACAGTTAGATTCTTAGCCGATTATGAGAAGCTATTTGTATCAACATGAATGATAAAATGTGGAAATGGGGGCAGGGTGATAATGGGAAGTGTGAGCAACTATGTGGTCAACAACGCATCTTGCCCCGTCACCGTCGTCAAGGTCCCCCACTAAGCCCCTTCATGTCCGTTTCAATAAATATTATGTAAAACTATGTGTCGGTATGTTTGTTTTTGGGTACATAAGCCTGATGCTGCTGCTTTGCTTTCTGTTTTGAATAAAGCGTGTTCTCTTACTAACTCTGTTACTGTTGTTGTGTTGTGTTCTCTGAATTCTCACTCTCTCTGCTCATGCATATTATATGTTTCTCCCCCTTGTGTTTATTTTATTTTTAATTGTTATTTATTGAAGGTTAGTGACTGTCCATTCATATGATTATTAATAATGCCTCCAGCTCCAGGGAGCAAATCCTACACCTTTGATCTTATTTTCAATATTCACGTCTGAGCTGGTTTGGTTTTGTTTCAAATTTCAATCAAACATTCGCCTAACATGGAAGCACAAATCATTGTGACTACAAATAGTATTTTCTTCAATTTTTTATAATTGGTTTCATCTTTATTTGGTTTATTTAGTTTTAAGAATTTTATATATTTAGTCTATTTTTATACGTATTTTTAAGAATTTATTTAAAAAATGTTGATTTTTTTTTGTCACAAAATTAACTATTTTTTAAATAAAATCTGTGGATTACCTCAATGACCATTTTGGTTAATAATCGAAGAGTCAAACCAATTCAAACCGAATATGACTCTAAGAAATTGAAACTTGAAAAAATTGAATCCAAATTGAAAAAACACCGTATAAAAAATGATTATGGTTATCTATAAACGGTCTGATTATAATTGAATCGAATAGAATTTGAATTGAATTCGAAATGGGCATCTTTGATAAATAAAGTTTTTGTATTAGGTTCTATGTACTAAAAATATGGGAAGAATTGTAATGAAATTTATTCAAAAAGTTTCGATTCGCGTTTTAATTTTTTAATTAATCAAATATGTTTTCACTTAAAAATAAGTAAATAAATAATAAAGATCAATCTTATTAAAAGGAAAAGTGTGACCAAAAAAATATAAAGATGGTATATTCATTACCGATACAGCAATTTTTCTCTTTTATTTTTATTAAGTTTTTTTTAATTAATGATGTTCTATCAAATATTTGTATGGCAATGAATTCGATATTGTTGAAAGTCTGAAAATTTATGTGATACACTGTAGACAATTTTGGCTTTTTATTTTGTTGAATTTTAATATTTAGAGAATTTATCATGATGAGATGAACAAAGAGTCTAGTTAATTATTATTAGATGATAGGTTTTATTTTTTAAGAATATACGAGGTTAGCCAAATCAAGATGTTGGAAATTAGGGGATGAAACAAAATAAACGATGGCAAGTAATTGTGGAAAAGAAAAACAAAAAAATATGAAACATAACGATGCATGTTGCGTAAAAAAAAGATATGTGTTTTGATAAGAAAGGACGCGTCACGCGCCTAATATTATCCAAAAATCCAAAATGAAGCAAATTTATGGATATTCGCTGGACTACATGCGCAAACCGCGCTTGGCATGCGCGTGTGATTTGTACAAGCCCTTGGATTTTGTTGACGGGCCTGAATATGCTCTCCATTGCCAAATATTTCTTAATAAATCGGCTCATTTCTCAAGTTTATGGGCCTCACAGCCTAATAGGAAACCGAAACCCGCCATGTGTACGTAGTACGAATTGGAATACTCCTATTTGTTATTTATTTTCTTGCCTATATATGCACACACACACACACGTATATATATATATATATTAACGTTTACTTTTATTTGAATTTTAGAAAACCCAGATTTACAGAAAATTGTTAGGATAAACTAAAAGTTTGAATATAAAAATACGTTCTACTAACATAAAAAACAACCACAAAGACAAATTTGATAGTGGGCCTTGAAGGAGCTCGTTGAGCTTAAGAAGAAATTTGAGAAATCAAAAGGTCCAATCGCCAAGAAAAGGAATAAGGTTCGGTCCACAATACCAAAAAAAAAGGCGCAATTCCAAGAAGGGAACATAATGATAACATAGTGGGTGGGGTTTAACCCCTTACAAATGACTTAGGTCAACACAAATTATTTACCCAAATTCACTACTTAGATATATACATACACACAGAAACATATAACCCAATTAAGCAATGAGTTTCAAGTAGATTTTATAGATAAATGTAGTACCTTGACCGGCCCATGGATCAACAACGGTAGAAAGCATCAGATTTCAGGACTCATCCATAAACACGGCACCGTATCCGCTTGATCTGATGAACTTCTTCAGTAGCAGAACCGCGATTGCGATGGTCAGTCCGACCGCAGCCCACGTGAACATCCTCTCATCCGCTGGCCTCTGAACCATCTGCTGGCGTGGCTGACCTCTTTCAGAAGCTTCGGCCACCGCCACATGGGCGATGGAGGGACCACCATTTATTCCCACAACCTCAGCTGCCTCCTCTTCTTCCGTGATTTGACCACCTTCAGATGAGGATGGAGCATCACGTGACTTGGTTTCGGACTGAGCATCTGAATCTACGGACAGTGCTTCATGACCTTCGACATGGTTAGGTTTGGGAGGAACCACATCTGCCTTGCTAAGCATGTACTCATGAATCTGCATCAAGGGACAAGTTCTAAGATAGTTTAACTCCAGACCTGGAGGGAGACAACTACTGGTCAACCGTCTCATTCAATGCGTGATGATCTAAATAATAAAAAAGAAAGGGTAAAACAGAAACCTCGTCAATAAGTTTCTGACGTTCATCAGAGCCGTACTTAGGCGATGCCTCGCGTGATTTGATGGCAAGTAAACGTCTATCCTCCTTTGGGTAATCCAATGACCCCAACGCTCCATTGGGGCTTGTAGGCATGAATGCAATTAGAGCCACCAAAGCCGTCCGAACTGCAAATGGACAAATCTCAATCTCATAATTCATAATTTAAAGTTTATAGCATACAAGAGTCACTACTCTTCTGTCAAAAAGTTGTCCAGAAAAATAAGTATAGAATAACTCCCCCCACTTTAAGAACATGCCAACATTTAAAAGTTATGGTCTATAGTTAGTACCACTTAACTATTCTACCTCGTCAACTGCATAAAAACATAAACACAAACAAACAAAAAGGTTGGACCATAACCCACTTCTATAATCTGTGATTTTGACAAAATATGCAGATGGCTTATGATCTCATGTTCTAGCAAATTACACTGTAACCTTTGTGATACATAAGCTTAGTAGAACTATAAACCTAAATCCAAACACTTTTCGTTATCCTTGTATCATTGCGAGGGCAGATCGCGCTCATCGCTCTGATTATGATTAGCCATTGTTATTAAAGCTCATTCAGTTAGTTATAAGCATATTTGGATAGTCGTAAATGACAAAAGGAAACAAAAAATGTTCAGGACCTTACCGCTCCATGATGGTTGCCAATGCTCAGGATGGTAATTCGATATGCTCAAGCAAATCTTGGTGTTCGTCTCAAAACGACCATTGGGCTGAAAATGCAGAAAGATTGATTCATTACAACCATATAATCCTTTTTCAACTCAGTAATTTATGTATTCTCACGGGAGAGGATGAGTTTGAGGAGTGAGAGTGCGTGTGTGCATTTAATATAACTTCAGTATGGAGTACAGCACAGAGGAAAAAAAAGATTCTTACCGTTAACAACATGAAAGATGGAGGTTTAAAAGGATATTCTGCAGGCAACTGGATCCTCCCATGATATATCCCACCTTCGAATTCAGTGTCTCGAGGGCCCCGGATTGCAAATTGCCATTCGAAGATATTATCCTGACGTTAAAATTAAATAGAACAATCTTGTAACTACTTTGATCAGCAGAAAAGCTCGTAACGAGAAACATGATGCTGTATACAATTCATAACAAGTAATCCAATGGTAATAAAAGCATATGAACATGTTAAACTCATGATTAAAGGAATATATCTCTATAAACTCAAGATTACCTAGCATGATCCAAACAAACAAACACCGCAATATTACCGAGGAGAAATGCTACTGGTCAAGCATTGCTTCCGCATGCGGGGACTCAAGCAAAAAGCCCTAATTTTCATTCTCTAAAATTAACCGATATTAGGGTTATATTTACCCTAGTTTTGTTTGTCTATCAATAAAATTAAGGCCACACTACCCAAGACTTTTGAAGTTTTCCCGAAAAAATTAGGAGAATAATGGTTTCCGATTGATTAATTCACAAAATTAGGTAGTCATGATCCACTAACCGAACGATAGACGAACACGAATGGAACACAAAAATGACCGGAGAGAAGTATAATTTCTCCAGTAAATGTTGATCAAATCAGGAGACAACCATATGACGACAGAAAATTAAGCAAAATTCATCGAAAATTCAAACCTCGAGGGGAAGAGACATGAAATCATCGGACGGATTCGATTGCATCTCCTTCACCTCCTGCAAAATCCTCTTCACCGCCGGATTTTTCCGGTTGAACTTCTCGTCCGCCATTTGATCTCTCAAGAACGCACCGGAAAATCCAATCCAGCGAGACGAACACTCGGCCGATCGGTCAATGCCAACAGAGAAACCAACTTACGACGCAAATCAGGAACAGAAGAATTGTCGAACAGACTACCAAGATATAAATAGCTCGCTACTTCGTAGCCACGTCATTGGGCTCCCAGATTGCTTACGTGGCGCTTGTTGATTGGTTAATAAGTTCATAGACTTAAATGGGCCTTAGGCCCAAAAAAGTTGAGTTGATGAACCTTAGGCCTACGATGAAACCATACAAATTCCTTTCTGACTGGGCTCGGGGAACATGTCCCGCATAAAAATAGCAGAGGATCGAAACGAAAAATCAATGGTTGATCCTGATATCGCATATCGGTTACTAACCAAATAACCGAATCAAATAAAATATAACCATAATCCAACCAAACCCAACATAAAAACCGAACGGTTATATTTTCTCTAAACCCGAAAAAAACGAAACCAAATCAAACTAATTAAAAAAAATATTCGAAAAAACCGATAATTTCTTTGAAAAAATAAGTTTTTTACAATAAAAAAAATTGAATCTGAATCGAACCGAAAAATAATTGAAGTGAAACGAACCGAAGTTTATAGAAAAATCGAATGGATATAGTTTTTCTGTAAACGAAATAATCGAACTCGAATATAATCAAACCGAATCCTAACCGAAAACCGAAATGGCCACCCATAGTTGAGCGAGAGATGCTGGAATTATCGACATGTGGAAAATTAGATAAATTGTCATTGAGACTTTGTCACTAGCAAGTAGGCCAACGGTCCACATCAACTCGTTACGGAGGAAGGAGGTCAATGTCTGAACACACACGATGAGGAAGGAACAAAACTCTATTCCCTCCAACGGTGGTTACAATTGGGGTTGCAGCAGACGAAGAACAGCGTCATTCCTTCTTCCCCTCTGGCCGTAGCCTGTATGTCCAATGAAAAATACTTCATGTTAGGTCCAAGAAAATCGAATATTCTGTAACAATTTTGTCATCTTCATAACATTCTATACTGATATACCAAGCAATGGCTGTTTCCATCAGCTCTTGCTATATATATATATATATATATATATGGACTTTTATGTATCATCACTGCCTAGTTTTGCAGGACAAACCAACACAAAATCTTGCATTCGCTTTCTAGGCAACCCCAGGTATTGAAATCCTTGAGACAACAAACAACCCAATTCCTCCTTGTTCACAGAAAACATGTCTGTTGCTAATTTTGAACATCCATCTCATCAGTAAATTACTAATTGAGAAAAGAAACCACCAACGACTATGTAGGTAAATTAGTCAATAAAAAGGTATTATACCTGGAAGAAGACTGCCTCTCCATGTTTACACTTGGCACAGCGCACAGCCTTGGTGCGAGGAAGAGTCGGGTCTGCAGCCACATCTGAGATAATCTGAGTTCGTTCACTTACAGAGTGATGCACCTCGTTTCTGTAAACACAGTTGTTATCTGCAGCTTCCTTCAAGTTGCAACAGAAATGCGTAAATGTACAACGCCAAGCACAAATGAGGGCAAAGTGCTGGTTTTATTCCTTTGATAACATGAAGTGATAGAACATGAAACAATTTGCATGATGAACTTTGTGTATGCTTGAATAATATTGCCAGTTACATAAAAAAAAGACTCGCAGAAAGCAATAAACCCTAGCCATTCCTGATTGCTGACCAACTATGGGAGTTGCCAAACTGTAATTATCTAATAACTACAGAACACCTAGAACAAGAAACTACCCAGAGGTTTATCAAGCAGCCGAAAATTTGAGAACTCAGATCAAGGAAGGATAGGTAAAACGAAACGACGGCACAAGCCCAGCTAACAACACGATGGTGACTAATCAGTCGGCATATCTTCGCAAAATTCATATCGTGGCAAAAAGACAATGACTAACCAGTCGGTCCATCTGTGCAAAAATCATATCGCTACATAAACAAGTAAATAAAGCTACTCTATCCAAACAAAAGATCCCAGAGATATTCTACTTGTGCCAAATGCTTTCAGATGAGATCTGGGAATACATTTCATTTCCAGTGAACAATGGGATTAGCAGCTCATTGAATCCAATTACATAAGCCAAACAGTTGAGAATGAGCCTTTTGCATTCAGTTAGACGTATTTCAACCTGTTCATACCCGTTTCCTTTCATAATCAGCAGATATATGCATATCTATTCAGAAAAACCACCAGATATCAAGATGAATCCAATTAAAATGATATTGATCCTCTCAAGGGTGACATTTTTTTGAAGCAAGGATCACTGAGACTTTGACCATAAAAGTAGCAGAGAGAGATGCAGAGTCTTGTTTCACCTATTGTGCATAAGCACTGAAGTATCAAATGGCTATGCATACAACACTGAAAGCTTACAATTTGATCCTACACCGGTGTGCTCTAAACCCAAAACAAAGATTTCAAAACCTAAATTATAGATTCCAAACTCTAGAGCCCTAAATTTCCGAGCCAATGGGAGTGAAAAGTTACCTGATGATCACAATTACGGCATGCGTAGAGCAGTATCTTCTGCTCCTTGTCTTCCTTAGGGTACAAAATGTTATTACTAATAATCAAAGAGAAATGTGAAAGAAAATCAAGGACCCATAAATAAGCAAGAATTCAAATTCAATATTCCTAAGCGAGAAAACAAAAAACAAGCAAAATCCAAACCGATTCCGGATGAAATTAGACATGAGATTCAGCTGATTAGAATGATTATGAGAAGTAAAAGAATCATGAGTAGCAGCGAAACCCTAGACCCAGACGAAAACCGAATCTTCAGGACAAGTCGGGTGAAATCCAGAAATCGAGACGGATTAACGGAACACCGCCATGGATTGGAAATAGAAGACCAAGAGGGGCTTAGTCCTAACCATTCGCGGCAAAATTTCATGGTACTCATCGTCGCCGGGTCTTGGAACGAACGAGCGACGAGCTGATAGGATTTGGGCTAGGGTATCTCTATGGGTTTTAACCCTAATAATTGGTTCGCAGCAATTTCAGGGTACACCACCGAAAAAAAAAAAAAAAATTTGCGACCTTATTACGACTAATATATAACTAATATACAACTAAAATAAGAGTAGTTTTGCGTCGTATATATGTTGTATATTAGTTATATATTAATCGTAATAAGGTCGCAAATTTTTTTTTTTTTCGGTGGTGTACATTAAAATTGCTGCGACCCAAGTGGGTTATTTGAGTAATATTCCCTATCTCTCTCTCGATGAATCTTTAGCGAGCAAGCCTTTCGGGGACGACAGACTTCTCTAGTGATAGACAACTCCTCCCGGTTTGTCAAGGACCTAAACCGGCACACACAAAACCGGTTAAATCCGTGCGATACTGTTTAAACCGACATCTTCAGCCGTATTATTAGTAATGTCCGGTTTGGCTAAACCATCTTAATACGAAATTGATTTTTTTTTTGCAACATCGCATGCATAATATCCGATTGATCGTTTTATCAGGAAAACCCAAAATTCCAACTGCAATGTGGAGAAAAAAAAAACAAAGACCGACCAACAATACAAAGAGAAACTGTCTTTTTTTTTTTTATCATAATAGTGGCTTCTACAGATTCAGAAAACGCCGGAAAGCAGATTTGCAGCGGTGGAGATGGCGGCTCCGGTGAGAGCACACTGGACCACCTGTTCATGGCTCGTCCTCTCCGACGTCATGGCCATGGCCGCACCCGTCAACGCTCCCGCCACCGCACTGTTTTTCTGCGGTCGGTCCAACACCAAACAATCAGATACCGAAAACCATACAAATTTCTATATACTCCATGGTTTTGATCTTTCATAGAAAACGCGTGGAGAAGTTTCTTCTCGGGGTTTACCCAATCATGAACTCCACGAGCCTCCGTCATGCCATAGGTGAGTCCCGAGTACAAACCTGCAGCCAGCCCTGCACCACATCCCAACCATGAAATACAATACAATTCAATGGACCGACGCTTTCTTATAAGTCAAGAAAACGAAATAAACGTTAAAAAGCAACTCACCCCACTGTAGAGATTCCTTCCCAGTGTTCTTCACCTATCAACCAATTGTTAATACAAGAGCTTAGGCCACGTGCTTCAAACTCAACCGAGATTCAGAATCACACATACATATATACACACAGAAGTGTAGTGCTCTGGGTTTTGCTGGTATTTGTCAAGAACGTTTCTTTCCCTCGCAATATTATTAAAACGAGCTATAAAAACTCACCAATGCTTCAAGTGATTTGCTGCTGCTTTCTCCTGAAAAAGCAGACGAAGGAAAAAATGCGATAAATACGACCACTGGCTCAAGAATATGGTTGGAGATGTAAATATATATATATATATAGTAACCTCTGAGGTTAGGGAAACGATGTTTCTTGGAGGCCGTCACTTCCGAAGGAGGAGGCGAAAGCACGTTGTTGGAGTCTAGTCCTGCCGCTTCATCAACACGACCCATATTAATACGGTTCAATCAATTATTATCAAATATGTAACATTCTGACGCCGAAACTCGTCGGACTACGTGTACCTTCAACGGCCGTGAAGTAAGCTTCCCTCGACACGGCTTGTAAAGCTCCGATCTTCAAAAGCCACGCGATAAAACGTCATATGAACAGCATGGATCCATATGAAACATATATATGTGTATGTAATGATCTGCAGGGTGATGAATAAACTCACGCCGGTGGCTTTGACGAAGGAGTCGGCGAAGCGGTTGAGGAGAGGGTGCCCCAAATCGAACAATGGAAGCTTCTCGAAGCTTATAATCTCATCCATCACCTTTCTTCCGCTGCTCTTCTCCATTTCTCTTGATCTTCCCTTCTTCGCCAAAAACACACTCGCTTTCTCGATGTGAGAGAACGATCTGGAGAAGAATAGGAACAGAACGGGAACAGGTTCCTGACGCGTGTCATGTCTCCCACGCGTGTCGGAACCTGCATATTGAACTGGTCATGGGTTCCTTTGCCACGTGGCTCTTCTTCCACTCTGGTGATGGGCCGATATAAGGCCCATTAGGAACTAATGGGCTTACAGGCCTTCAAGCGGGGTTTTTATACTTTCTTTGAGGTGCCACGTGTCCAACAAGTGAAGCCGTTTAACTAACCCGCTTTGATATCTCCGCCTCCGTTCGTATCTCCACTTCGACCGTCTCTCTGCGTAGTACTTGTCATCTGCATCGCTTCCATTTCTCTGCAGATCTCTCTCTCTCTCTCTCTCTCTCTCTCTCTCTCTCTCTCGCACACACAATGCAATCCACACACTCTCTTCAACTCTCTCAGACGGCGTTTCCCAGGTCGAACCGCCAGTTCTGTTCACCTTCTACGCCAAGGAATCTCCGGTTCTGCGGTCTCCGGCGAGAGGCGTTTGGTTTCTCTCCGTCGAATCGGTCGGCTTCTTGCCGTTTCCAAGTTCCAAGTAGGAGGCTAGAGGTTTTAGCCGCCGCTTCTTCCGCTTCTGGTAATGGTGCTCCGCCGAAATCGTTCGATTACGACCTGATCATCATCGGAGCTGGAGTTGGCGGCCACGGAGCGGCACTGCACGCCGTCGAGAAGGTGTGCTTTTGTCTTCATTTTTTTTTGTTTTAGGATATAGAGCTGCGACGAATGTGGAAAGGGTCTGATGAAGTGCCAGTTTCATTTGTTGAGGTTCTGACCTCACAGTGCCATGATTTCTCCGGAAAATGAATCCATTTTCGTACCCGTTTCGTCTTATTTTCATCTGGGCTGAATGAATGCTAACTTATATTGATACTGGAAACAAATGCTCTGTTTATAGCAAAAAGGGTAAGAGAGCGTGAAGCGGCATGCCATTCCATGTGCCCATTTGCAGGATCCCATCTATTCTGTAATCATACTGTTATTATGTTCATTTGCGGTGTAATCGTTGAATTCTTCTTGAAGGGACTCAAAACTGCCATCGTTGAAGGAGATGTTGTTGGAGGGACTTGCGTTAACAGAGGCTGTGTGCCTTCCAAAGCTCTCCTCGCTGTCAGTGGCAGGATGAGGGAACTCCAGAGCGAGCATCACATGAAGGCCCTTGGTCTGCAGGTCAATTATTCATTCATCTCGACTCCTTTATCATCGCTGGTTTCTTGTTGTTTTACTTCAAGCGTATCCTTATGTGATCATTAGAGTTTCCTTCCATTTTGTCTCTTTGTAATTCTGTTGTGGAAGGTCACTCTTAGTTCACTGAAGTTTAATGTCACTGAAGATGTGTACCTCGCTCTCTGTTACTGTTTTTGTCTCCACCGGGACAACAGGTTTCGGCTGCCGGGTATGATCGGCAGGGAGTGGCAGACCATGCTAACAACCTGGCTACCAAGATTCGGAACAATCTGACCAATTCAATGAAGGCGCTTGGAGTTGACATATTGACCGGTGTCGGCACGGTTCTGGTCAGTATGTTCTCGTCTTTCATCAACTTACTAGACATGATACATTGTTCTTAATTGACGATCCTAATTCTTTTAATTCCTTTTCGTGTATGTGCAGGGCCCTCAAAAGGTTAAATATGGCAAAGCCGGTTTCCCTGACAACATCGTCACTGCAAAAGATATAATCATTGCCACCGGTTCTGTTCCTTTCGTCCCTAAAGGAATTGAAGTTGATGGTACGTGTCTTGTCTTGTTTTCGAACATAGTTATAATGGAGGATGTGCCTCAAAAGCCTGAAACGTGACAGGTTTTTTTTTTTAATGTGTAAAGCATTGATAAGTTATACTACTAGCAAGCTCACCGAGATTCATTAAGTGCATATTTTGGTTCTCAGGAAAGACTGTTATCACAAGCGACCATGCCCTGAAGTTGGAGACCGTTCCTGATTGGATTGCTATAGTAGGAAGTGGTTACATTGGCCTTGAGTTCAGCGATGTTTACACGGCGCTTGGAAGTGAGGTGGCCTGTTGATCTTTTACGCTTTTGCGATTCAGTGATGTTTGTTCCTATGATGATATTGGAATGGCCCAAACGTATGAAATTGTTTTACGCAGGTTACTTTTATTGAAGCTCTGGATCAGCTAATGCCTGGATTTGACCCTGAGATAGGTAAGCTAGCTCAGAGAGTTCTGATAAACCCAAGAAATATTGACTATCACACCGGGGTGTTTGCAAGCAAGGTAAGCTTCTTATCGCTCACATTACGAATTTCTCAACTATTCCTATGTTCTCTTTAACGTGATCTCTATTTGTTTTAAGCCCTTTTAACTCTACGCTTTATAGATCACTCCAGCAAAGGACGGGAAACCAGTTATCATTGAGCTTATCGATGCTAAAACCAAGGAACCTAAGGACAAATTGGAGGTATTGGAATTCCTTGTGCATGGGATCAATTTGCTTAAGCTATCTTTTTTTTTTTTTTAAGAAGTAATGATGATCAGAAAGAGAATGACTGCAGCTATTACTCATGCCTGAGATCTAATATCACGCTTGCCCAGCTACTCGCCTTTGACAACTGAGCTTTACAAAACTCTTGTTTATAACTTTCTGCTTCTCATCTCAACATCAACTTTCTGCATGGATGCATAAAAAACATTATATTAGTAATGTGTTTGTAAATAAAATAAAGCTTCTGCTTCCATCTCAATTAGTACCATACGATGCTTTGCTCTAACAAACGTGAGACCTTTTGTTCTTATTCTAGGTAGATGCTGCTCTTATCGCCACCGGAAGAGCCCCGTTCACTAATGGTCTGGGCCTGGAGAATGTACGAGTGACAAAAACTGTTATGAGCATATGATGACATTTTCATTTTTGGCTCCCTGGGATTAGATGGTTGTCGGAAAGATAATCTTGTAACTATCCTTTTCACACAGGTCAATGTTGTGACACAGAGAGGTTTTGTTCCAGTTGATGAGCGGATGCGCGTGATTGATGCAAATGGAAATCTGGTTTGTTTAATTTCTGCGTAGACGTCTTTGTTTACTCTCGGACTATCTTTTCGAAATGCTAATGCAAGTTTTTTTATTGATAGGTTCCAAATTTATACTGCATAGGTGATGCAAATGGTAAAATGATGCTCGCTCATGCAGCCAGCGCCCAAGGAATCTCGGGTAAATGGATTTACGGTTATTAACATTTCAACTATATGTACAATGAATTGCTTTTTCGTTTTCCTTTTCTTTTGGTTGGTTCTGCCGCTTACTAAGCTCTCTGCATTTACTCGTTGCGACCAGTGGTGGAGCAAGTCACAGGTAGAGATCACGTGCTTAACCATCTTAGCATCCCGGCTGCTTGTTTCACTCATCCTGAGATCAGCATGGTGGGATTGACAGAGGTAATTCTCTAGACCCCAATGCACGTGGTGTTTTAAGTACCTGAGTAAACCTGTTCACTCATCATAATTAATGCCTAGTGGTTTAACCAAAAGAAAAAACAAAATCCTTCAATTGACAGCCTCAAGCGAGAGAGAAAGGTGAGAAGGAGGGGTTTGAAGTAAGTGTTGCCAAGACAAGTTTCAAGGCTAACACAAAGGCTCTGGCCGAGAACGAAGGTGAAGGACTTGCGAAGGTCAGCAGTAGAAGCACTTGGGAAGAAAGTGATACCAATACCTGTAGTTGCTTGGGAAAGACGGATATATCTCATTAAAAACCCCTTTCCTTTCGTGTGCACAGATGATATACCGGCCTGACAATGGTGAAATCCTCGGAGTTCATATATTTGGGTTGCATGCAGCTGATCTTATCCATGAAGCATCCAATGCAATTGCTCTGGGTACAAGGATTCAGGTGTAGGACCGTTGATACTCTGATTGATTGAGGATTTTAGCTGTAAGATTTGGTTTCTTGATGATAAAAAAAGAAGATTGAGCTACGTGGGTCGGTATAGCCGCACAGTAAAAACCCGGAACTTGTTTTCGGTATTGACTGAAGTCAATGAATCAGATACCGTATCCTCTGATATCAATTTCTTTCATGGTTGCTTCCCCTCCTATCGCAGGACATAAAATTCGCGGTTCATGCGCATCCGACGCTGTCTGAAGTGATTGACGAACTGTTCAAAGCGGCCAAGGTAAAAGATGTCTGACTCCTAATCGTAATTGGCATATGGTTGAAAGTTGCGAAAGAAACATCACGTAGCAAAATCCAAAACCAAGGAGCAGCGTCTATATGAATGTCAACTTAAAAAGGAAGCGGAATACATATGAATTTCAGGTGGAAAGTCCGGTGGTGGCGCCCACGAGTACTGTAAGTGAGGAAGTGGCTGCCGTCTGAAACGCCTTTGGAGGATTTTTTGTGGAAGGTGTTTGGTTGTAACAGAGAGAAGAAGGAATAAGCAGAAAAAGAGATCGATGGGAGAATGAGGAGGGGCTTGCCTTGCAGGGCCTCTGAAGGTGTATTTCGTCCACCCAAGTTGAACGATTTCTTTGAACATGTTTCTCTGTGTTTCTGTTTCTTTCTTTCTTCTTTTAAAGGGAGATTCAACTACCGTACCAAGAGTCCATTCACTTTGCAGTTGTCAGAAGAAATGTTTTTTTGTCGCATTTTTTACATATTTGTGAGAGACAATTATAACCCGTCGGTGTGTCCATTCTCTTGCCCAAAATTGTGTTGTCACCCAGCAAGGACACGACTATTCTCTCTCCTAGCGTCACACAATTAACAGCCCATAAAAAAAAGTTCTTTCTTCAAAATGGCATGGCAGCAGCAACTACTTTTGATCCCACGTTTTCATTAACCATGCCTAGTAAAAGGAGACGACGGGTACAATTTTTTTACTATCGAATTCAGTAAATATATATATATATATATATGTAATAATAATAACAATATTAATAAAAACCACATAAGCCCCCACATTCACCACCAACACAGCCAAACCATTAACGTCTTTTTTTTTCATGTTTGCGCAGACTGCACACGAGAGAGAGAGAGAGAGAGAGAGAGAGAGAGAGAGTTCTCCACTCACCTGTCGGAATGAAACCGAGACTTAATATCATCACCCCCAACACACACACACACACACACACACACACACACAGGCACACGCTCACTGGGAACTCTTTCTATGATCTTCGGAGTGTTGCCTTTGTAAGAGATGATGCACTGCTACTGCTACTACAAGGCAATGATAATACCACTTTGAAATGGATATAAACAGAGGACAGTTAGCAGTCTGTATGTATCTACCGAGGGGGGGCTCTCTTGCGGCTGAGGATTTCGTGTTCTTTGAGACGGTGCTGGAACCGAGCAAGGCGTGACTGAAGGCTGACGAGACCTGCCGCTTTCCTCGACAACACAAAGCTCAGTTGTGTTACGTAGTCATCAATCATGCTCCCTGGCCTCTCTACTTCCGCTAGTAATTTCATTTCCTGTTTTTTTTTTTTATTGTAAAGAACAAACCCAAAAGTTCAAAAGACGAGACGCCCGAAGGCAACTTCACAAGGTTCATGCAGGCAAGTTACCTCTCGCACTATTTCCATTGTGTCTTCTATTTCCTTTCTGTGCGCTGCGATTAGGGCTTCTTCTTCCTGCCATCCAGAGTCCGTACCAATCAAAAACATTTCAGCCGATTATATAATTGTACCTTTTGACAAGAGTCCACAACAGCAGCGATTCTATTCTAAGATGATTCCCAAAAAACAGTAATTTTTTGTATGAATTCATGGCGTGTTATAGAATCTCACTCTGCATAAATGTTACTTTAGGACTAGATTTGTTCAACGGATTACTTAAACAAAAAGAGGGGCAATTTACCTCGAGCAGTGCATCGAGATTCTCATCAAGAGAAGGCTCTGTATCATATTGTCTTGAAGCAACATTATGCTGCATAGGGTTGGTGGTCACGGGAGGAGCTTCCGATGTGCCGCCATCTCTTCTTTTCAAGTTCCGAGGTTGGTCTTGTTTTTCTTTTTCTTCTCCAAACCCAAACCCTTTCCTACGAGGCGGTGATACCTTCTTCACTTTCTCTTCCAGGTCGGTAGTGTCCTGAGAATATGAAGATGGGTAGATCCGTTGACTAGTAGAACCACCAGTAGAATTACTCATCTCCGCTGGTCTTGCTCTGTCCATTGAGATGGTCGGTATTCCACTTTCCTCTCTGATGTTAATGGGATACGAAGATGGATAATAATTCGTCGTAGGCTGCTTGAATCCAATACCTGAACTAAAATAACTTTCGTCCTCCACCCTATTTCCCGTGTCACGTACATTCACTTCCTGTGGAGGCTCAAAGATATCTTCCACATCGTTACAAACAGGTTGAGAAGAAGCCAATGAAGCATCCTTACTAGCTGGTGGCAATGAATTGACAGTTTGATCCTTCTTGCCATTTCCACTTTTAGACAAACTCTTCACCCTGCAGGTTTAATGAATTATAAAGAGGTTAAAAGGACCGGGAAATAAAGACACAGCAGAGAAAAAATATTAGATCATAAAACATACCGATCAGCATATCTTAATGTATTTAGGGTATGTTCACACGATCCAGCATTTGGAGAGATGCAAGAAATCATCACAGTTTTCGAGTTTCCAACGAAAGAATCACGGAGCACTTCTGTTAGTTTGCTTCCACGAAATGGTATATGTAGCTGATCATTATCCAGGGCTCGGATGCATTCCTTAAGAGCCAACAGACTCTTGTTGATTTCTGCACCTTCAATCCTAGTACAAAAAATATCTTCTTGTGAGGAAAGCCATCACGGAAAGAGCTAACAATCTTAATTCAAATGTTCCTAGAAAAAGTAGATATGCTTTAAAAATCTTAAAAAAACAATACCATAATACCAAGCAAAGTACCCAGGTGTAAAAAGAGTACTATAACCCCAGGACTAGAAGAGAAAAGAGCCTGACCTTGTCTGGCGGTCATTGTCCGTGGTATCTGCACCTCTTTCACTGCCAGCAAGATCGATGAAAGATATCTTGCCCACAACTTTTCCTCGTGATTCATTACCATCATTATTATTCCGTCTGGTCTCTTTTACCTCGACATGCTTCTTGACAACAAGCTGTAGAATAGCATGTGATCTTGAAGATTCCTCATTGGCACCAGTCGATCCTGTGCTCCTTGCAGAATTGCCTTTCTCAATAAATTCCTTCACAACTTGAACATCTGAAACTTCATACTCTTGAAGTCCAACAATGCAAACTTGCTGTCTACCATCTTCTCGCATACAAAGTTTCCTACTCAGTGACAAGAAATTAATTTAGCCAACTGTATGTATCTAATTTCAGATGTTTTTGTAGTAACACAAATGTGGAGAAAAAAATGCAAAATATGAAGAGCAAAAGAACGAAAGATTCTCTGGGATTATATGATCAAGTCAAACAGCATCCAATTATTACGAAAACCTAGCAAGTGGCTGATGAAAGTGTATTCCAGAGGTAATTTCGATAGGAAATAAAAAAAGGGAAACAATGCCTCTACAAGTTGAGACATCTAAAAGAATGAGAGGAAGAAATACTTACTTTCTGTCATTGAGAAGATCAAATAGCTTTCCACCATATATCTCAAAGTAGCTGAGCCACAATTTAAATCTCTGGTTGCAGTACACAGGTTGATGCAACAGCCTCAGAAGATCTTCAGCAGCTCTGATAGGCAGTGGCTTCATTGTGTACGTCTTGCCGCTACCTGAGAAAAACAAAACGCATCAGAAACATCAAAAGTGGACTAAAAGGAATTTTTCTGTAAATAAAGGAACCAGTATGTACCTGTTTGCCCATATGCAAAACAGGTAGCTTTGGTTCTCTGGAAAACAGTGGGGATAATCGGTTCAATTGTAGCCCTGTACACCTGTTAAATGGGAATTCACGGCAACTGTTGACAAGGACAGAAAACTTGATGAAAACTATCATGGCTTCTGTAAAACTAAAAGTAAAATCTATGCATCCATCCACGGAAAAAGACGAACAATGTTGACAATACGAGCTATTGCATGCTGCTCATCTAGCATATATGTCAACAGGTCAGCTGATTTTGAATTTAATGTATTTCTGCTATCTTCAAACCATGAAGTAGCTCAAAGTACATAAGCAAGGATATATATATATATATATATATATATATGAAAGTGAATAGATTACCTCATCATTTGAAACATATTCATCCAGAATTGCATCAAAACAGAACTCATGCTTTTCCACGTAAGCAGTCAAATCCACCTGCACCATAACATCAAAATTCGTACCCCATCATGAAAGTGAATGCAAAGCAAGTAAGGAACAGAATCTACTAACTTCAACAGAAGCGTTATAAAAGCAAGCAAAAATATAAGGAAAACAACACCGTAGTATATAAAGGTTTCAGACCATTATTTGGATCCGGGGTATTTAACTTCAATAAAAGCTCACAAACTGACCTTTAACTTTGGCTCGTGGACGGTCAAAGAATTATCAGATACGGACACAATATCGTCCTCCTTTCTTGCAACTTCCTTCTTATTTAGGGGTCTCTTTCTTACCTAAAGAAAAGAGAGCATGGCGCCCACGGTGTTAATAGACATTGCTTGAAAGCATAGCACCCAGAATTAAACCACTAGTCAAGGTGAGGAACTGCTTAAAATATTGACATACCACTACTTTAATCTTGGCTAAATTGTTCTCTCTCACACTATTTTCTTTTTCGCCCTTGGGAAGTGAACCCGAGGGTTCAGCATCTGTTTCCTGTCGTTGCTGCTGGCTAGCTGGCAAATTGAAGTCTTCTTCCAATGCTTTATTAACATTAGGCATGAAAGGTGATGGCTCAAAGGGTTCCGAAATCACATGCTGCAAAAATGATTGGAATTCAACACATGATGAAAAGAAAAACGGGCGATAACTTAGACAAGGAAAACAATAGTTATTAACAGCAGCCAACATAACGAACCTTCCCAGAAAAGCCTTTTCATAGCCAACAAATAAATGGCAGTATATCTAATATAACTCCTAGTTGCAAATGTTTTAATGTTTCTCTTCAAAATTAATGACTTGCTTCTACAGATCAGCTTTATGAACATACCTCAGATAGCAGTTCCGTATCATCCATTGCATGAAGATCCAATAACCCAGCTCCAAAATCACCTCTGAATTCAGGTGAATAAAATCCATCCGATGAGGACAAAGCTGCTGATGTTTGGGCAGTTGGAGTGTACGGTTCAGAAGCAGACTCCCCATTAAAGTTTAGATTTCTCATTAGTTTGAAAAGTCTTTGCTTCTCTTCAGCGGTTTGTGCTCCATAACCCTGGTAGACAACACAGACACCATAAGGGCGTGGAACAGTGGAATCCCCATTCAAGGAAATAAACTATGGGAGTATGCTACAAAATTTCCAAAAGAAACAATTTGTGCCAATAAAAAGGGAAAATTACCGACAACCACGTGATAAAAGTCTAACCAGTTAACTGATCACTTCAAAGCGATTAAGGGGCTTAAAGAATTGGGTACTCAAAATTCAAAGCTATCCATGAAACTTGATGACACTATAAATAAACAAAAACCACCCGGCAAAAGTCACAGACTCCTTAGAAGAACTGTTCACAATTTGATCGGAAATTAGAATGGCAAGACCAATACCGGGAACACTGTCTTTTTCAATAATCTCAACCTACATCTCTGCTGTAAACCGAAAACCCAGCTAGACAGCAGTATTAAGTACTGAACGGATTTGGCAAATAAAAATGTGGGCATACTTCCCAAAATCCTATCCTACATATACTACAGCCGGTAAATAACAAGCATACAGATAAATGGAAGAGTCTCGGCTCAGAATTACAGAGGCAAATGACTCAGAACCTGCATGAGAAGGTTGGGGAGAAGACGCTGGTCAATGGCAGTAGAAGCAACGGGAGAGGCCAAATGTTGCAAACCAGCAGACTGGAGCCACCGAGCCATGACCGCATCACCTGCATCATTTGCAGGTCCCGCATGGTGAAGAGAACCGTCGTATAGCGCCGTCGCAGCCGCAGCATTGCTCTGCTGCATCTGGCCGCCCATGTGGCGCTGTGATCTTCTTAGGGGAGCCAACTTCGGAGATCTGTAAATCAACTCTTCAACCAAAACACGAAACATAACCCCCAAGTGTCACAAAAAAAAAAAACAATTTCTATCTCAGAAACATGGACTGAAATGTCAATTCCGATTACAAATTTTCAGATGCAAGAGAAGGAAACTCACATTGAGGAGAGAATTCGGTTTCAACGCAGAACACGAAAGCAGGAACTCAGACTAAAACTTATTCACTTCCTTTGAATCTGAAATTCAACAGATAATCAAACATGAGAGCTCGCGTCAGAGAAGTATAGCAGACGATCGATGGAATCCCAAAGCGCTACAGTACACGAAGAAAGAGGGACGAAAGAAACATTTACCCGATTAAGACGAAGATAAGCGAATGTAGGATTCAAGATCTTTCATCCGCAATTTTCTCGGGAAACAATCAGATCTAAAGAAGAAGAAAAAACCCCTAAGAGACGCGTATCCTTTGGCGATGAAGATGGGGAGAGAGAGAGAGAGAGACGAAGCTCTGTCTAAAATTCTCCTCTCCAATCTTGTAAGAAATGTTAGGCGGAGAGAGGGGAAACGATTTGACAAGAGTTTTGAAGTGCAAGAAAATAAATAAATTAAAATTATGAAAATTCAAATGAAAGTATCCTTAACGTTTGTTCCGGTGAAAAATAAACCCCTTTAGTTTCAGAATTTGGATGCCTTGCCCCAAACGTTTATGATATTCTTATTTTAACCCCCAAATAATCTAAAATTTATTTCAAAAAACAACAAATTGCCAACGTACCGAATATTACCGTTTTCAAATGCATTTATAAACCATTAAATTTTATCCGTAGCAACTTTTAAAGTGTTTGGACCAACAATGGGCAACATGATGAAATAGAACCATAGCATAAGTATATATATATATATAAATATGTATGCGTGTCAATCCAACAGATTGTGGTCAGGTGGTCAAGTTTGGATATGAAGTAATTTCACCTTGAATTGAGTGTTCGATTTATGGCTGGTAGGGAGGGAGTTAATTTTTGGGTTTATATGATCCATATACAAAGGTTGTTCACGTACCGGAGATTTACCTAATCATCGCGCCCGAAGGTAGCAGTTAGCCAGTTAGGAGTACTCCGTTATAAATTTAAAAAAAAAATAAAATAAAAATATGTATGCGTGTCGACACGATTTTTGTAATGATTGCGTCAACCATGCATGTATGTCTACTTCTCTCTATTTCAAAATTTTAAACTATACCAACCGACCGTGTAGCAGTAGCACCCATAGGTCCCGTACATTGGTAAATACATACACACACATATATACATACATACATGCATATACATAGGATTTTTTTTTTAAAAAAAAAGAGTATGGTATGAACTAAAATTGGACACACATGTCATTATTATATGTTTAAAATATTTATATTTTCCATTTGTGTGAAAATATATCCTATGTGAGATAAACCGAAAAGCTAATATTTGGATCTCCGCCAACCCGCATGGAAGTAGGACGAGCAAATCTTTACCATAGACATAAAATATTCACTTCATCTATCATCGTTTATATATCAATAATGTATAAACATAAGTTTTAATTTGGCAGAAGAAAACTATCTTAATTTCGTAAAGTATATATATGTATATATATATATATACACGTGTGTTTGTGGCATATACCTTGTACCAATAAAGAATAAATAAATAGAATGGAATAAGGGGAGAAGGTGGTGGACGTGTGAAGTGGGCCAGCGATGCCATAACTCGTTGGTTTACTTCTTTTTGAATCAAAAACTTTTGCTTTAGTCTCAAGCATCTCCATATTTTCAAAAAAAGAAAGAGCTGCGGTTTTAGTATATGTTCTTTTATTAAGAATGATATAAAATTTTAAAAATCAACGTACCAAAATATTAAAGAGAATGCGATCCAAATTACATATCCGATGTAAAAAAAAAGGGGACAGGCAGGAATATAACACGTCAATAAACCATTATTACGTTTGTAGTGGCTTCATGGCATGACTACACATGTTAGTTGTGACGTACATATATATAGATATATATATATGGGCCGAAATATGTTTATGTGGTCGACCCGATCTCCCCACAAGTCTCGATCGAATCGATGCTCTTTCACCAAAACAGTTTGAATCCCACAATTTCCAAAGATCTTCTCTCAGGTTTTAGTACATGTATATATATCAGTGTTTGTGTCTTTTTCATCATATAGATACGGTGCATATGTATTACATATATATATATATATGTACACACGCAATTCGATCAAAGTGCTTTATTCTTTTGTCACAAAAATAACAAGGTTTGCGCGTTTCTTAGGATGCAGAAGACAAGGAGAAATCAGACTGTAACGTTTGTAAAAAAAAAAAGGCAGGTTTTAAGTGAGTTATTATTGTAAAGGTTTGAAACAGTGAGGGGAATTTAGGGGTGAGGCGCAGGTACTTGAAACATGTGGGTTTTCGGGTATCCGTAATCACGGATACTCGTAGTACGAGTATTCGTTATATAACGAATACGAAAACGAGTTTGATAAAGCCAAAAATCTGGATTGGCGATTTGAGTTCTGGTTTTGTTTGAACGGTGACGGTATCCTCGGATGACAAATATAAATAAAATGGCGATTATACCCTTATTATTTTAATATATTTACAATATTATTAAATATATTTTTAAAATAAGTTATTAAAATACCTCTAAAATCCAAAAAACCAAAGTTTTCTAAAAATTTGGACCGATTCAGATACGCTCGGTTGTTCGAATTCAACGACGGCTACCGGAACCATGGGTAGCCGAACTTTACAAAAACAAAAATGAGATAATATCTTTTCAAAACCGGTGAAGACAGAAAACAAATCCCAAATATCCAAAATCTCAGCATACGCGACCCATGCCCACTCCTAGGGATTATGCCTAAAGATTCCGCAGCTCTTTGCAATTTTCAAGGATGCTCCATACAACAACAACAGTAACAACGAATATATAGGAGAATCCCTTTTTATCTCTATTTGTTTTAGCAGCACGTCCCCATTGTCATTTATAATATATAAACAAACATATAAAGGGAATCACTTTGGGCATATTCCAGACTCCACTAAAAGGGATCATATGCTCACAGCTGGTTGGTTTCAGACATCCTTGGTTTCTACCATTATTACAAAATTTCATGGTCTTCAACAAAAATAAAATCACGAGAAGCAAAGCAAAAACACGACAAATTCGACCGATACAGAACGACGACGTACCACAACACAGTAATAATTCATTTTTTTTAAAGTCAAAGGAATTCCAAAAAAGCCAAACAGAAGCAGAAATGATAATTAAGTGAAACAACAAAAAACATAACTTTGGAACTGCAGATGATACGCGGATGGAGAGCTTCTGTTGTGTTCTGTCTCAGCACTTGATCTCCTTCAAACCGTGGGCGAAGTACAAAAATGTCGGATTGGTTGCACCTTCCTTGTAGTATGCAAAGACCAACGAGCCCTCGTCTTTCATGCTCTCCCCCACAAAGCTTTTGCAACAAAACAAAAGTCAACAGAGTCATTACTTTACTCATGATCATCTTATCGCGATATTCAATGGAGTGTGATGGAACATATATACAATTGAATGACATTGATACCTTTCACTTTTTTCAATAGAAACCCACAAAAAGTTGAATGTGATAAATGGTACTATCAACTCTAATTGTATTGGAAAAATTCCAAACTAGGGCATCCCGTTGGTCAGCAAATGAGCACATGAGATGGGAAGACTTACAACTGAAGGTCTTTGATCTTGGAGAGCAGAAACTTGGTAGCGCTCTCGATGTTCTTCTTGAACACTTCTTGTTTCTCTTCGTCCAGCTGGGCCGTCAAGGTCTTGATGTATTTCTTTATGTAAGCAACAAACTGCTTCTTGTCAAAAGGAGGTTGCTCCTACAAAAAGAGGAACCAGCAGTTGGGTATTTATTTACAACAGCATCAACATAAATCCCATATTCATATATTCCATCCTCAAGTCCAGACAAGAACATCAGAGATTGATCCAATATTTCTGGAAATACAACATAACATCGGACACACGGGCATAAGTCAGTACTCTAGATTACAGATTTAGTTTGACCAAGAACTTATTTAATTAGGATACCAAATATATAACTGAGTAGAAGGAACCAACCTGAAGCCTGAAAGTGTCGACGATGTCAACGACCTTAACGGCTTGGTCATCTACACCCTCATCTTCACCACCACCCTCAGCAGAAGGATTGGCACCGATGTTTACTTCTACGGCTCCTTGGACAACCCACTGGATTTCAGAAAAAAAAAAAACATACTGCTGTTAAAATCCACAATCCAACACGCCACCCACCATGCTATGATGAAGATTCATACAAAACATGTCAATACAATTGAGACAAATAACCCAAAAACCAAACGTGTATGTCAGAATATCAAAGTTACATGCACGCGCAAAGAAGTCACAAACCTTTCCCTCAACCTCCCAAAGAACTCCATTCTCAAGCTCCTTGTAAGGGAAGGAATCAGAAAGAAGCTCATCACCTGAAATCAATACATTTATTGGATTCAGTAGCATCCAAAGTCATAGACGCACTAATCAAACTTTTCAAACATGGAATATGAGCCCAATAAGCCAACATCGAACCAACTGGATAATCTCCATGCGTCATCGTCTTTCAAACACAAAAAGTAGCAAGCAAAAGGAAATCAATGTATCAAAAAATCACAGATCCAACTGAATCACCAACAAAAAGAAACAGATCATAGGAGATCTACATACTCCGTCCTAATAATCGTGCACAGATCTAATGAATTCGACACAAGAATCTAGAAGTCGAAAGCGTAATTGGTCTGATCGAGAAAACATTGATAGTTACGAGGTTAGGACAAGATTACACAGTGACTAAGAAGAGATTAGGCTTACCGGAGAGGAGATCCTGGTAAACCAACATGGTCGCTCTCTCGTTCCCTCTCTGTAACGGACACTGATGTTGCGGGAGAGAGACGCAGCGACGAGAGGGGGAGAGACGACGAGTGAAACTAGGTATTTATAGTGGTGCACAACGAGGGTTTTCGCTGAAGACGCATCACAATAAAAATATCTCTAAACAATTACCATTTAGGCCCCATACTTTCTCAGAAATATCGATTGTGACCCCAGAATATTTTCTCTACAGATTCTAATTCTATCGCTACTGGGCTTGCTTTAGATATTTCTTGTTTTGGAGCCCATACTGATAAATGGGCCGTTAGTGAGAGCCCAATGGGTTCTTCCCAAAAAACTGGCCAGGCCATTTTTAAATGTGGTAATGATATAGGAAATAATCTATTTTTACCGGTAACTAGGGGTGGCCATTTCGGGTTTCGGTTCGGTTATTTCGGTTATAAAAAAATCATACCCAAACGGTTATATAGATTTATTCGGTTCGATTCGGTTCGGTTTGGTTTGGTTTCGCTTCGGTTCGGTCCGGTTTTTGCATAATAAAATTATAACCAAACGGTTAAATTTTTCGGTTTATTCGGTTCGGTTTTAGATCGGTTCGGTTCGGTTATGATATATTTTAAAAAAAATATTAATCCTACACAAACTTCAAAATATCTATCAAAATAAACTCATAAAATAATTAATCCCCCAAAATAGTTACAAAAAAATCTACAAAAATTTCAATAATTAGGTTAAAAATTAAAAATATTAAATTTTATGGTTTATTAAGTGAAACACATAAGGTACAAATGAACTACAAAAAAATAACACCAATAATAATAAGGGTAAAAATTAAAATATTATAAAAAAACTCTAATAACCGTTCGGTTAACCGTAGTTATTCGGTTATTAACCGAACCGAACCGAACCCGAACGGTTATTCAACTTCCTCAAACGTTCGGTTATTCGGTCAATAACCGAAATGGTCACCCCTACCTGTAACTACTATTTCAATATTATTATTTTTTATAATATGTGAGTTTACGGTATGATTACGATATAGTAGTTTTTATTTTGGATTTTTGTCTTTAGGTTTTGGTTTTTGATTTTAATTTTTAGTTTTGAGTTTTTGATTTTTAGCTTTTAGATTTTTTAAATTTATAAATCTAAAAAGTATAACTTTGATTTTTAGTTGATTTTTTTATAAAATAGATTTACCAATTTTTTAAAGTAGATTTCTGGATTTTTTTAAAAACTAAATTAAAAGAAATTTAATTATCGATTTTTTTACATTTTAAATTTTAAAAATTCTGAAAACTCCTCTCATTCAACATCTCTATATGAAAAAACTCATATGAATGTTTTTTTCGACTTGAACGTGAATGGGAAATGAGTTTTGCTCACCCAATAAGGTAATACATATTTCTTTTTATTCAGTGTAAATGGCAATTGAGGTGAAAAGCTAAAACAATTTTGACATTTGTAGCCAAAAACAAAAGAGAAAAATGAAATTATCTTTATATATATAATAAAATAAAATGGCAGAGGACCCCGATTCTATCATTCGGGTGGGATCCCCTTCCTCTTCCTCACTCATTCCCTTCCAAACCCTAGTTTTCCAGAGCGATAGAAGACGACGATGCCGGGTCCAGCTTCGGATTTGGAACCTGTCGAGCCGCAATCACTGAAGAAGCTCAGTCTCAAATCCCTAAAACGAGCTCTTGATCTCTTCTCCCCCGTCCATGGCCACTTTGCTCCGCCGGACCTGGAGAGGTTAGTGTGCTCAGATATCCATTCTTCGATTTCGCTCTCATACCGGTGTATATATCGAAAAGTCATTCCTTTTTTGTTTGCTTGTATCTCTTTTGCAGCAAGAAGATTCGTCTCAGTCACAAGGTAAAATGGATCTGTTGTTGTTCAATTTGTTCTTCGGCTCTCTGTTTAATTTGTGGGATTTCGGTTTTGTTCTTCCGGGTTGTTTTCTTCGGTCCTGTTGATCTTTCTGTTTGGCTTTGAATTTGAGCTGTAGATGCTACTTTATTGGATTATGTCTTTTGGTCTTTTTTCTCAAATTCCTCGGCCACCTCAACTTAGGTTATTCATTGCGTTACTATTGATTAAACTCATGGACTTCTGGCTACCAGGTTACTGAATTGTTGAGCCTGGGAAGTGAATTCGTGATCATTTCATCCCTTTGTGTACATGGGGATCGAATGGTTTCAAGTTTAAAACTTTCAATGTGTTCTCGAGTTAGTGTGTCTGGATAGATTACACAACAGATGAATAGAACCGGCAGCTATAATCCTCAACCCGAATAGGGTGAAAAAAAATAGGATATTCCTTTTTCCAAATTGTTTGAATGAAGAGATATTGAATTTCAATCAACTGTGTAGCTTTTTTCCGATTAGCATGCCATGAGCTTTGTTTGCTGACATTAAAATTTCGTGTATAGGTTAGCGTTTTATATGGAGGCATAGAACCTACTAGTCAGACTCGATGCCGACCTGATCGTAGTAACCAACAGACAGCGCCATCTAATACCCTTGCTCTTCCAGGTATTTTTATTTTCAATTCTTTTGCTGTGACATTATTACTTCAAGGTTGGCGACTGTTTTTTTAGCGTGCATTTTGTTATGGCTGGCCAAGATGATGTGTTTGATGAATTCTGCAGGTCCAGAAGGGTCGAAGGATCTACAGAAGAGTGCAGCAGAGAATGCTTTAGTTGTTGGTCCGACTTTACAGCCTAGGGGCCCGTAAGTGTATTTTTTTTCTTTCGGTTTCATTTATCGAAATTGTGACTGGTTGTAAAGCTTTTAGGCAATTTATTCGATTGGCACGAATGTTTCTGTGGTTGTTTTGCCTCGCGATCTACTTGTTGTGTCATGATCCTAAAAAGTTCTTCTTGATTGTCGGATTTAAGGAACAACATTGGTCCCACAAGCAGAAGCACTGCCATTCTTCCTGCATCTGGGTCTTCATCTGAAAGGTTTTATGTCCCATCTTTTCCTTTTCTCTTTATTCTGGGTTGTGTATCATCTTGTGTAGACTTGCCATATTTCCGACCCAAAAGCCTTTAGTCTGTATCCATGCACTAGCTGCTTATATATATATATTGAAAATTGTTCTCATGTTACAGAAATTTGTCAACCGCTGCTTTAATGGAAAGAATACCAAGTAAATGGCCCCGCCCTGTGTGGCATGCGCCATGGAAGAATTATAGGGTAAGATTTATGGCAAATATCATTGCAGCATAAGCATGAAGATTATATTAGAGCTTTTACTGACCTGCAGAGACTTTCTTTTGTATGAGCTGCTGCTTGACATTCCATTGTTTTGTTTCACTTTCACAGGTCATCCAAGGACACTTGGGATGGGTCAGATCAGTTGCGTTTGACCCAAGTAATGAATGGTTTTGTACTGGCTCAGCTGATCGTACCATCAAGGTGATAAATGAGTTCCATTCAAGCAATCTTTGGCTATATGATTATTGATTACTGTTAATCTTATAACCTCAATTTACTTCTACAACACGAATCCCTTTTTGTTAGTTTTTTTTCTTCAAGTATATTTAGGTACTCATCATAAATACCACGTGAAATATCAGATATGGGATCTAGCAACTGGAGTTCTGAAGCTCACACTTACCGGACATATCGAGCAAATACGAGGTAAGCTGCCAATCTGTTTGATAGTTCTCAATAACTGTATCGTAAAACATTTACTAATCTTGCATGGCAAATTCTGATGGTATGTTTGCAGGCCTTGCTGTAAGTCCCAGACACACTTATATGTTCTCCGCTGGTGATGACAAGCAAGTTAAATGCTGGGATCTCGAGCAGAATAAGGTCAGAACTTGAGGACCGATTGAATTTATCTGTAACAGATTTGTTATCACCCTGATATGCGCTTCTTATCCTGCCAATTATTTGGAATTTGGTTTTGATAGGCTATTCGGTCTTATCATGGTCATTTGAGTGGTGTTTACTGCTTGGCTCTTCACCCAACACTGGACATTTTACTAACTGGAGGACGAGACTCCGTCTGCAGGGTATGGTACTTAAAAAGATTTACCATGTTTCTCAGCATGTGTTTCTTTAGACATCCGCCTTCCCCGCACACACTCACGGTTATATTTGAGGTTTGCCCAATCTGTTGTAACAAATCCATATGTGGTACACTATAGGTGTGGGACATCCGTACTAAGATGCAAATTTTTGCACTCTCAGGGCATGACAACACCGTTTGTTCTGTCTTCACCCGTCCAACAGTATGAAACTTCTTTACATTACCTTTGGTTTTATTCTTTCATACACCTATTTTATGCTCACTGTAATTTCGCTTGACTTTCTGTTGCTATATTCAAAGCTTCGATCTTGAACTCAAAGTACTCTGTGATGTTACAGGACCCACAAGTTGTTACTGGATCCCATGACTCAACCGTCAAATTTTGGGACCTTCGATATGGTGAATTTAACATTCTAACTATCATCTCTCTATCCGTTTACTATATCCCTGCTCATTGTGTAGACATATACTGCTAGTGCATGATTGCATTTACATAAATATCGTTGATTATCATTTGCAGGACGTACTATGACAACTCTAACGCATCATAAGAAGTCTGTCCGAGCAATGGCCCTCCATCCTAAAGAGTATGTGGTAGTTGCATCTACTTGCTCTTTGAACAAGAGTTTTGTCATATGATGCCTGTTTTATAATTTCATCTCTTTGGTTTTTTAGGAATGCCTTTGCTTCTGCATCGGCTGACAACATCAAGAAATTTAGCCTTCCGAAGGGAGAATTTTGCCATAACATGCTGTGAGTTTCTTGAATCCGTTTATTTTACGTCTCTAGCGACTTTGGTTAGAATTTTGGCGTGCGGCTTTAATTAGCTTGTGTTTTAATGTTGTGTGTATCCCTCAACAGTTCTCAGCAGAAAACCATAATTAACACAATGGCAGTGAATGAGGATGGTGTAATGGTCACTGGAGGTATAAAACCTTCTTTTTTTTCCTTGGTATTTTCTCTGCGGAAGCAGATATTGTTCTCTAAATCGGTCCTCTGTCGTCTGATTGAAAGGTGACAATGGGAGCTTATGGTTTTGGGATTGGAAGAGTGGACACAATTTCCAGCAGGCGCAAACCATTGTCCAACCAGGTATGCTTGCATGCAGCAACCATCCATCATTCATTCGTCTTGTATTAAATAAATAGCTAACCACACCACCACCAAGGCTGATGATGATTTCGTTGTTGTTATTTGTATTGATGGATGGGGAATGAATGAATAAATGAATAGGGTCATTGGAGAGTGAGGCGGCTATATACGCAGTGGGGTATGATGTAACAGGATCAAGATTGGTGACATGTGAAGCGGATAAGACCATTAAAATGTGGAAGGAAGATGAGAAGGCCACCCCGGAATCTCATCCCAGAGCGGTCACAATTTCCAGCAGTCTCAGACCATTGTTCAACCCGGTATGTACATCTCACAGACGTCTGTTGTGTTTGTGATCAGATGACCCAAAAAGACAATCAAATCTTAGGGTTTATATAGAACCAAGAAAGTGGCAAATACAGAAGTGAGTAGATGTAGCTGTAGGATTGTAAATGATAAAGAATGGGTTTGGTGTAGGATAGTAATCAGGGGTTGTAATGTTTTGGGTTGCAGGGTCACTGGAGAGCGAGGCCGGTATATATGGAATGTCATATGATGTTACTGGGACAAGATTAGTGACATGTGAGGCCGACAAGACCATAAAAATGTGGAAAGAAGACGAGAAGGCCACTCCTGAAACTCACCCTATCAACTTCAAACCCCCCAAGGAGATTCGGCGCTTCTAGAGAGAGATTGGTGGGTAAATGAATGAGCAGAACAAACTGAGAGGAAGAAGAGGTAAATGTAGGATGCTAAAAATCTAGGGTTTATCTTTTGGATGGAATGATTTTGTATTAGAAATTCATTAAAAAAAAAAAGGATGGAAATCCTATGGAGTGGACCGTAGAGAAAATTTTTGTTGATATTAGTTTTTGCTTTCATCTGATTTACGCATGCTCGAGAATGTCTTCATCAACGCTTCCGTCGCTTTCTGCCTTTCCCCCTCTTATTCTCCGTGTTCTTCAGGAAACGTCTCTTTCTTACTTCATTGGCATCATATATATATATATATATGACTTTTGGTTACCCAAAAATAAATAAATACTTATGCATTTACTTATTTGATTATGAATTCGCATACATCATTCTTTTCTCGAGCTATGCATTTATATAATCGCATGCAATGTTGTTGGTTCCATTCAATATGCAATTCAAAACTGCTACAAAATTCATATAATACAATCTTTTTGCTACATGTTTTCATTCTTATTCACAAACAATAAGGGTATATTTTTTTTTGCCTATAAAACCAAAAAATATAAAAAAATATATAAAATCAACTCATCTAAAGATTCCTCTCAAAACAAAAGGTAAACGAGAAAGATGGGAGAAAATGCCAGTAATTTCTTAGGCCCGTGGACCAATCTAACACCCAAAAAAAAAAAACTTGTGGTGATTTTGTGTAATCCGATCTTAGATGAATCAACTCTCTAGTTTGCTTCTCTTATAAACGATAAATCGTAGGAGAGCCCCCCCCTCCCTATGCTTCGGGGTTAAGAGACCACCCAATGAAGGGAATAAAAAGAAACAACCAAAGATTTGGGTAATGCAAAGATGGATTTTTGGGCTTAACATTGGTTTCATGACAAAGCTTGATCAAGACAAGAGGCTGAGACCAACATCTTTGTTCTTTTTTTCTTGGATGTTAATTTCTTTTGATCTGTCCCTATCCCCTCACCCCTTCTTTCCCTTTTGTATCTCTACACAATCATGCATTTGACAATTTCTGATAGGAGCATTTGTATTTCCCCATAATGGTCACATTAAGGAATGTTGAATGCTTTTGAAGTTTGAGCCAATAGGAATTAGTGATAACACCATCATCCCCACTTCAAATGCAAAAACATACTTTTTTCCCTCAATTTTGTGAATCATCAGCTGAGACCTAATAGAAAAATCATGCAAATTAATGATTTAAAAATAAATTAGATATCTATGTTAATTAATTTGAAGAATCTGTATATTGCAAGATTGGAAAAAAAAAAAAGGAACACAAGTAGAAAAATGAAGGGTTAAGATTTGTCAACAACGCGTTTCACGTCAGAGATTCGGATCGGATTCGGTCATGAGAAAGACAAGAGGCCAACTTGTGAGACCTTCTATAAATAGGGTTGCATGGGGAGAGGACCTTTATCACATGCAACGCTAAATAAGTAGTAACCATAGTTTTAAAAAAAAAAATCAGACAAAACATGGCAATGAACAAAACCCTCTTCCTCTTCTTCTTCTTCTTCTGTCTATTGGTAGTGACTGTTCCAATGGCAAAAGCTCAGCTCGGTGGCATTGGAGGCCTTCTAGGTCTCATCAGGATTCAGGGCACTGTCTTTTGCAGTCTCAATGGGAACGTGACGTCTCTTACCAATGTCACTTCGTCCACTCCTGTCTTCCCCAGTACGTTCCCACAAATATACATGTCTTATTCATATCATATACACACACACACACGTATCACACGTAAATATGCCGCTCATTTGCGACCATGCATGTACGAAGTCCGCATACATATACATATATATACTAATACCAGTACAGTTAACTTTATTGGTTCCGTGCATGGTTGAGATTTCTTTTTCACACACACACACACACACACACACATATGTATGTATATCATCACGTTCATATGCTGCATATTTCCGACCATGCATGTTCAAAAGTTCAAAACCCGTAGACATGCAATTATATGTATGCGTGTAGTTAACGTTTTTCTTGGTTGCATGCATGGTCATGGTCGGGGATGATAACATGTGTTGGTAACAGATGCTCAAGTGCAACTGCAATGTGGACCGGAAAACATCGTCGTATCAACAACGTCGACGAATTTATCGGGAGCCTTCTCGATGATTCTGGACCCTCTTCAGTTCCTCCTCTCGACGTTGGTATCAGACTGCCGGCTCTCTGTCACGACCCCACTCTCAGTCTGCAACGCCACGCTTCCCTCCGTCGGGGGCCTCCTCTCCTCCCCTTTGAAACTCGTCGGAAACACCGTGACCGGCCTCCTCAGCATCATTAACCTCGCCCCTCTCGGTTTCGGTCTCAACTAGAATTGATTGCGTACCGAACCGAACCGGAAAATGTTGTCATGTGTTTGATTTTATGTACGACTTGGTTTAGGAACTTCATTGCTTTTATGCCATGGGCCACCAGGTGTATTTGTATTTGTAGTGTCAGGTCTATATGGCTTGTGTGTTGTGTTATGGTTATTGTATTTTGTTGTTATGAAATGGAATAAATGCGTCTCGTTTTAATATTTATCTAAACGTGTATAGTTATGATCATGGTTTTGTATATATCGTATAAATTTTAACCAATAGTGGGAAGGAAGTATTTAGGGCTTGGAATGTATGACTAAAACTTGAAGTTTTGTGGTAACATTAACATACCAATACATGAAGTTTATGGATAGTTCAACGAGTGAAATAACAGTGTAAAATGTCTATTTTATCCGAATTCGAATCTCAAATTTAGAAAATTAACATATAATCCAAATGATATCGTTCACACCAACCCGAAATTAATCTGAACATTGTCAAGTTGAGAAATTTGGGTGAAATCTGATAACAAAACTTTATGGTGAAATCCCACGCGCAGCTATGGCGCGTGCCGCCTAAATCGGAAAAAAAAAGGCATTTTGGGACTCCCAAGGCGCGTGGGACTCTCTTTTATGACCACCTCCCTCTTTTTTTTTTTTTTTATTCACACCCCTTTTAATTTTAATTTTTATAACTATGGCAAAACATTACGTAATTAATTTTGTTTGAAATATTGTTTTTATAAGAATAACGTTTATATGATAAAATCAAAATCAGAGGATAAACACATAATTTCTACGCGGTTGTAACTTGTAATCAAATTCTGATTAGTCTAACATATAATATGATACAAAATTATCGAAAGAATAATACATATAATTTTGTATTTATGTAAGAAGTTTGTTTATTTTTGTAGGGTCCTAATCATCCATACAACATGACAAAAATAACCATATTTTCTTTTTATAAATTATTCATTTATTGCGGATTTTTTTTTTCAGGTTCTTATTGAATAATTATGGGAAAAAATCACAGCAGAAGAGATTATTTACCAATTTTCTTCCGGTGAATCTTTCTCCTCCCCCTTTGTACTTAATGGGCCAAGGCCCATTACCCTAAAAGCTCCCTCCATCTCGTATAAATACATCCACAACCCTAAACCCTAACAGCCATCGTTGTCATCACCGCCATCGCCGGAGGAATTGACGGCGGCCGATCACCGGCGAAGGTTGCTGCGAAAGTATTGTTTTCTTCTTCGAAGAATAACTCTATCTTTTTGCAGTAACTGATCTCTACATATATATACACACACATATCGCCGGGATATATAACTCTGAATAAGAAAATGGCCGCTCGTTCGATCTCCGGCGCCGTGAAGCCCGTCTTTTCCGCCGTCTCCGGTGGTATTTCTGTCTCCGCCGTATTCAGGTGCTTCCCATAAATTCTCTCTTCGTTTATTTTTTAAAATTTTATGCTTCATTGAACATAAAAAAAAAAAAATCTTCTTGTAATGGTGCGGTGGATGGATCGTGTTTCATTTTTTCATACGTCTCTTCCTTTTAAGGGATGTTTGTTATTTTTCCAAATTTGGTCCCCTGCTCTATAATAATAGTTTTATATGGTTAGAAACCATAATTTACCAAATTAAGGAATCTTTTTAAATTATTTTCACCACCCCTAAATAAAAACCTTATATATATATATATATATGTATGGTTTAGCAATATATATCCCGCAATAATAGACAGGAGATATATAGGTTGAGATGAAAAAAAACATTATTACGTTAATAAAAAAAATCATCATAATGTTTTAAATCTCGCTATTTAGTACGTACAGATTTGCTAAATCCCATGTTTCCTAATCATAACTAGTAAAAAACAAATAACCGTATAGACAACAACGGTCGACTACCATATATACGGTCTATTGTATATAAAATGTACGTGCATATCATAATATATGTTGAGTGTTGTACGATATCCTTTCGTTTATATTTCGAACGTATGATGATATAAAAAGGTGTTTAGTTAATCACTCTGTATTTTATTCGTTAATTATTCGTCACAGAGTTGGGAATTACGAAATTATTCTAACGCAAACCTGACTTAGCTTATTATATAAATGTTAAATGGATCTGTACTCGATCGCATAAATAAACAATTAGTTATATATATTTATATGTGATATATGGAATTGTCGATTGTACAGGAGGGGATACGTGGCAGCACCACAGGGAGTCCCGTCAGGAGGATTGAGTAAGGGAGGATCCACGGGAGCTATGGTGGGGAAGCAGCTCGAACAAAGCGCCGTGAGAGATGAGGAGGCAGAGAACGCGTGGGCCCCAGATCCGATCACCGGTTACTACAGACCAGCGAATCGTGCGGCTGAGATTGACCCAGCGGAGCTACGGGAGATGCTCTTGAAACACAAGTCCAAACCCTTCTGAGCCTTTTGGTTGGTCTTAATATTACGGTGGGTTTATTAAACTATCGAGGTGAATGATCATAGAAATTTACATTTTATAAAACTGAATTTTGCAAGAATTCAAGGCAATTTTTCTACTTTTTGGACATTAAAGAAATGCGGATTGGTTGGGCTATTTGGAACCCAACAAAATATATTGGGCTAATACGAATATTGTCTAAATTTGAGGGGTCAAAATTGAACGAAATTAAAAGTTGTTGCCCATTAAAGGTCCAAAGGCCTACTTATGAGCTCAGAGGATGGCGAAAGAATCCAAACGGCCCAATTATGGGCTGGACATACTACCATTACAAAACCTCCAAAGCCCTCTAACGAGATTTTTTTTTTTTATAAAAAAAGTTGGTATTGAAATTATACAAGAGTTTTTGACAACCTCTTAAACAATTAAAAACAAAAACGAAACAAATTATACAACGCCCGTTTTGGGTAACGAAACTCTAAATTACATTGTGGTATTGAAAATTGAAAGGGAGAATATTTGATATATCTAGCAAAACTTAGTTTACACAAGCATAACCAAATATCATATATATATATATATATATATATATATATATATATATATATATATTCAGAAGAGACAAATAGATCAAACGAGCATAAAACAATACAAAAAACTCTTGCTTTTTATTTTTTATACATATTTTTTGCAATATATATATGAAAGGGGTTAGAAGAGGAGGGGACGACGCGGAGAGGGAGGAGCTTCTTCGCCATCGGCAATGTTGCTTAGAGCATTAGAGAAGGGAGAGTTGTTGATTGGTTTGGCGTTTTTGTAAATGGCATACAGAGTGAGTTGCGTTGTCCCCATTCGGCACCTTCACACATTTCATATATACACATATAACTCATCATTATTCGTGATCTCACATTACTATACCAACGGACCCACATTTTTATTTCAAATGGGTCGCCTTTTGCACAACCACTGATTTAAAAGATTGAGCAGACGTGGGGGGGCCGCGCCATAATTATTCATATCTTTGAAGCTCGTACGTAGAATATGTAAAAGTTGGTGAAGCAACACTTACCAAGATTGAAAACGTCGTGCAGGAGAGAAGCGTAGGCTGCCCAAATCGCGCCGTTTAGGAAGAGGAAAAACGACAGCCAAAACGGCATGTATTCCACACTCTTTGTCGTCACCACAGTTTTCTGAATTAAAGATCAAAATCATTGGACGGTAAATGACAAAAACCAGGACATGATATTTTTTTTAATTTATTGTTTGGACCCACCGCCAGGCTTTGCTGTCGCGTAGCTGGGAAAGGGCGAAGGACGAAATTTGAGGTGCATATAAGATTATGGCGATGTTATATCAACGCCTATATAACTTTGTGATGTTTATATTAAGACAGTGATGTTTAGACGTAAATGTCTGATGATGATGTATCCATTATATTAAATATAATTAATCGCGGTGGTTGTTAAATGCAATATTCAATGGAATGTGTGTGTATATATATGGCACATGCAAAATTCTCCCGGTTGTTGATGATCCAATCTATACACGAAAACAACGCCTGATAGGTAACTATATATACCCAACGTGCGGCCATTGGAATTCTTTTTTTTTTTTGGTGAAATACATTGGAATTCTCCATGTGATTTTATACATATATACATATCTGTATGTATATATGTATATATGTATGTATGTATGTATGTATGTATGTATGTATGTATGTATGTATGTATGTATGTATGTATGTATGTATGTATGTATGTATGTATGTATGTATGTATGTATGTATGTATGTATGT